TGGGACCTCCCAGTGGTTGGGTCATTCTATTTTTTCCTTGTCCTTCCCCAAACTCTTAACTTCCTCATTGCAGCCCTCATTGAGTTGACCTCTCACTCCAGGCTCTTTTCCAGAAGTGTTTAGACTCTCTGCTCTGATAGTCTCTTTCTCTAAAGGCAGTATTTCATGATCCCTCGGATCCTTACTTTCCCTGACTGCACAAGGGGATCTACAGAAACCCTAAGTGTCTTCTGATACTGTGTGACTACCAAATAGCAGCTGCCATTGACAGCGTGAAGCCCCCCTCACCCCACCTAAACTCATGCCTGTTGTGAAATCTAGGGTGTAGAGGGATGTTCAGAAAATAGCTTCTTCCTTCCTGTGGCCAATTTCATGTAGACATGTCAGAATTGCAGGGGGAAAATGAGAGGTTAAAAAAATACACTGTATTTGCTGAAAAAGTTATTTCTTGTAAAAGTTTCTCCCTTCCATTTAGGGACGACATGAACAAGCAGATTACTCTGTTTCCTTAATCGGCAAAGGTAGAGAAAACCCCACTTCAGCAAGGGCTCTGTGCCCAAGCCAGCCACCGTCTCCAGCTGTAGGGTGAAAATAACATTGAGGGTCCATCAAACCAAACCCCAGCGGGTTCTGTTTGAACATTTCTTCACTCAGTCAGTAAGTTCAGTCACTCAATTGTGTCTGACTCTTTGCAACCCCATGGACTGCAGCATGGCAGGCCTCCCTGTCCATCACCAATTCCCAGAGTTTACCCAAACTCATGTCCATTGAGTCAGTGATGCCATCCAACCATCTCATCCTCTGTCGTCCCCTTCTCCTCCCACCTTCACTCTTTCCCAGCATCAGGATCTTTTCAAATGGGTCAGCTTCTTCAATGGGTCAGGTGGCCAAAGTATTGGAGTTTCAACTTCAACATAAGTCCTTCCAGTGGAAATGCAGGGTTGATTTCCTTTAGGATGGACTGGTTGGATCTCCTTGCGGTCCAAGGGACTCTCAAGAGTCTTCTCCAATACCACAGTTTAAAAGCATCAATTCTTCAGTGCTCAGCTTTCTTTATAGTCCAACTCTCACATCCATACATGACTACTGGAAAAACCATAGCCTTGACTAGATGGATCTTTGTTGGCAATGTAATGTCTTGGAGAATTTTGAGCATTGCTTTACTAGTGTGTGAGATGAGTGCAATTGTGCAGCAGTTTGAGCATTCTTTGGCATTTGAACATTTCTTATGACCTCAAAAATAAGCTATGGAATGGGGTCCTTGCATAACCAGGTGGAGATGTGGGTAGATCTTGTATTCAGTTACTCCATTCCTGCCTACAGCCTTTAAAAGGTCTTTTATTTCAGGTCACTAGTGGTAACCCTCTCAGTCTTCACCAGAAATGTCTTTGTGTCACAGTCCCTCTTGAGCGATGGTTTAGATTCTAGCTTGACAGATACTCTTGTTCATCTCTTTGAAGATATTATTCTACTGTGTTCCACTTTATTTAAACATTCCAAGATAACTGGGTATCTATATGGGAAAAAAAGAAATTGGACCCTTACCTCACACCATACACAAAATGCAATTCTATGTGAATTATAGACCTACATGTGAAGGCAATAATTCAAAGTCTTTAAAATTAATATTAGAAATCTCTCTGCATGCATCTGGAATAGCTAAGTTTTCCTTTAGACAAAAATAAGTCATTAACCTCAAGGGAAAGATTGATAAATTCAACTCTATTGAAATTTAATATCAAAAATGTCATTAAAAATCCACAGATGAGAGAAGATATTTATAATGCATGTACCAAACAACTGGTTCTTATCCAGAATATGTAAAGATCTCCTCAAAGCAATAAGAAAATGAAATACCATAATTGAAAAACTAGAGGAAACTTTTTACAAGAAAGCAAGAAGGCCAATAAACACATGAAAGTATGCTCAACCTCATTAATAATAAGATAAATACAAATTAAGATAACAACAAGTTACAACTATGTACTGCAATGTGGGAGACCCGGGTTTGATCCCTGGGTTGGGAAGCTTCCCTGGAGAAGGAAATGGCAACCCACTCCAGTACTCTTGCCTGGAAAATTCCATGGACTGAGGAGCCTGGTAGGCTCCATGGGGTCTCAAAGAGTTGGACGTGGCTGAGCAACTTCACTTTCACTTTTCACCCAGTGACACACAATTCCACGTTTAGTATGTGCCCAGTAAAAATGCAAACACCAGAATACATGTGAATATATATATACACACACACACACACACACACACACACATATATGTGTGTGTCTGTGTGTATGTGTATATATTAATTTCCAAAGGCTGGGGCGGGGAATGTCCATCAACTTTAGAATGGGGGAAAAAAACACATTAGAATGGATAAATAAAGTGTGTATATTTGTGCAAATGAATAACATACAGCAATGAAGATAAATGGCCTAGGGCTACACACAACATGGATGGACCTTAATACAGTGTTGAGCAAAAGGAGTCAAACCCACCCCCTACAAACAGATGCACATGATACGGTTCCATTGGTATCAATTTGGAGATAAGTGAAAATGGAACGCTTCAGGATGAACATATAAGCAGTGGGTGCAGAAGGCAGAGTGGGTGTCTGATGACCCTGGGGACAGTGGGACCTCCGGAGAGAGACAGCCTGCTGGGAGGCGCAGCTTCCCAGGAACATAGCAGTGGCACTTTTACATTTTATGCACTTTTCTGTGAAACATAACACGGCAAAAAGGGGAAGTTAAGGGTTCCTAAAATAATAGGGACACAATCCATATCATCCAAACTAGTGAATTAGAAAACCTGGGAAGAGGGGTGCAGAGGGGGAAAAGAAAAGCTCAACAAAACTTAAAGTACAATGTTGGAGACAAAAATAAAACCAAAAGGAGAGTAAATAGAAAGCACAACATAAATGCCAGTGAGAGGAGGTTCAAACTTGTGCGTGCTCAGTCATGTCCAACTCTTTGCGACCCCATGGATTGTAGCCCGCCAGGCTCCTCTGTCCATGGGGTTCTCCAAGCAAGAATACTGCAGTGGGCTGCCATTTCCTTCTCCACGGGATCTTCTTAACCCAGGGATCGAACCCGCGTCTCCTGCATTGCAGGCAGATTCTTTACTGCTGCGCCACCTGGGAAGTGAATTAGGGGCATCTGCTCACCAGGTGACTGCCCGCTCAATGCTCACTGCACGCCACTGAGAGGAAGCAGAGGCTCCCATATGGAGGCACCATTACATTCTGTCTTTGTTTAAAATAAGTATACGTTAACACAGCTACACACACACATCTACAAGGTCCGAGGGACCAGTCAGCAAAATGTTAGTTATCTCTGTCTGACAGAACTGTGGGTCGTTTTTTATTTGTATTTCTAATATTTCTATAATTATGTTGTGTCCCTTAGACTTTTATAAGACTTTATTCTTTAGAGCAATTGTAGGTTCACAGCAAAATTGAGAGGAAGGCAAAGAGAGTTCTAATATACTCCCTGTTTCTACACACACAGCCTCCCCCATATCAACATCCCCACCAGAGTGGTCCATTCATCACACCTTATGGATCTGCACTGACGGGTCATCTCCCACAGTCCACATACACTGGGGCTCACCCTTGGCACTGCACACTCTGGTTGGACAAATCTATAAGATCATGTAGCCCCCATGATAGAGTTATACAGAGTATTTTCACTGCTCTAAAACTGTGCTCCATTTACTCATCCCTCCCTCCCCCTAACTTCTAGCATCCTCGGATCTTTTCATTCTCTCCATCATTTTGCCTTTTACAGAATGTCACAGAGCTGGAATCATATAGTATGTAGCTTTTTCAGATGGGCTTCCTTTACTTAGTATTAATAATATGCATTTAAGGTTCTTCCATGTCTTGTCATGGTTTAACAATTCCTTTCTTTTTAGTACTGATGCTCCTTGGAAGAAAAGCTATGACAAACCTAGACAGCATATTAAAAAGCAGAGATTTCACTTTGCTGACAAAGGTCTGTACGTGAGAGGTTTTTCCAGTAGTCATGTATGGATGTGAGAGCTGGACCATAAAGAAGGTTGAGCACCAAGAATTGATGCTTTCGAACTATGGTGCTGGAGAAGACTCTGGAGAGTTCCTTGGACTGCAAGAAGATCAAATCAGTCAATCGTAAAGGAAATCAACCCTGAATATTCATTAGAAGGACTGATGCTGAAGCTGAAACTCCAGTACTTTGGCCACCTGATGCAAAGAGCCGACTCATTGGAAAAGACCCTGATGCTGGGAAAGATTGAGGGCAGGAGGAGAAGGGGGCAACAGAGGATAAGATGGTTGGATGGGATCACCAACTCAATGGATATGAGTTTGAGCAAACTCCAGGAGGTTGTGAAGGACAGGGAAGCCTGGTGTGCTGCAGTCCATGGGGTCACAATTGGACACAACTTAGCAACTGAACAACAAGAAGTATTCCATTGTTTGGGCGTACCACTGTTAAATCACTCATCTACTTAAAAGATATCTCGGTGCTCCCAAAATTTGGCATGGTTGCTTTTTAAGTAATGGGAGTGACGTGGTAGTTGAGCTGAAGCTGTGGTATGGAGATCTTCATGGGCTGGGCCAAGCTTAGACATCATACATCATACAATGGGAGTGACTGAAGATTCTGGAGCAGAGTCTCAATGGAACAGGAGCCAGGCCTGGGGAGGATCCATTCACTGCAGAATTGGGGTGGGGGAGGGGGTCAGAGGCAAGCGCTGAGCCAGAAGGCATTGCAATCAGCCCAAAGGAAAGTGGGAGGGCAGGAATGATGCGCAAAGGCTGGGGAGGAGAAGCAGAGTGAGGCTTTCAATTCTTTGAGGACATTTTGGAGGAAAGAAATAATAGAGAACGGTGAGTTCCAGGCGGCTGGGTGGGACCCTGGAAGAGGGAGTGGTCAGGAAGATGACGCCCAGCCTTGAAAACCGGGGAGGGGAGGCTTTATTTAAGTCAGTTGGGGTTAACGTCAAGTGCTCCCCGCATGTGTAAGATGATGCCCCAGGAAAGCCAGGTGCAGCTAGAGCACCTCTGGGGACAAACAGAGGCCGACGAGGAAGCACACTGGCCAGAGGGCCACTTACCTGTCCGCTCTGGCACCTCCCTCTGGCCCAGCCACAGTCCTGCGAGGGGGGATGTGTGAGCCTCCCTGTTCTGCAGATGAGGACAGCCCCTCCCAGAGAGATGAGCCCACGTGTCCAAGGCAATGAGCAGTGGAGGATGTGACTACGGTGTGAACTTGCCTCTCCTGTGGGCAAATCCCACTCTGCTCTCCGATCAACTGCTCCCATAGAGACGGTCCCGTCTGTGGGGCTGAGGAGTGGAGAAGGGGGGCGACGATCCCAAAGGTGTGTGTCAGGCGCAGACCGCACCTTCTGGGGACCTGGCCACCAGGCATGCTGGTGAGTGGATAAAGACGCGGCAGGTGGTCTCGTAGAAGAGACCTTCGTGTGTATGAGCGATAGGGACATGAGAACTGTGTCCCCGGTCCTGAGGGGTGGGGTGCACTTCACACACACTGCTTTTCTCCTCCTCATCAGAGCTGGCGCTCAGGACTGCTGTCCTTCCCTCTTACAACTGAGGAGTCAGAGGCCCCAAGTAGCACACAAATCCAAAGACATACTAAGGCACAGGCTTTGAGCACAGGCTTTGATCAAGGGCACAGGCTTTGAGCATGGCTCTGTCGCTTCCCAGACTCAGGCTCCCCATCTGTAAGATTGCAACCTCACAGACAGCTGTTACTTGCTAAAGCATGTAAGCTATTATGATGACTGCGGAAGGACTTTGTCATAAGAACTAGCACTTGCACTGAACTGATGGCTTGTATTGATCAAGCATTTTCCACATTTCATAGCTCTGAGCCCAGTTTTTTTTTTTTTTTTAACTCTAGATCAATCATCCTTTCTGCAATATTATGCCGTTTTGCTGGAAGGAACAGTCTGTGGAAAGAAAGAAAATGTAGATGGTCGAAAATAAGGTTCTGACTGAGCAGCAAAGGCAGGAAGTCTCCCCTCGTTAGTTTCGGCCTTCCTGAGACCTTGGCTATGGGATCCTGTCCTCCTTCCATTGATACACCAGGAGGTCAGTGAGGGTGTCGTTTACTTCCGGTTGTTTTGTGAGCTCTAGGTAATTGGGCCCAGCATGTCTCACCCATAGAAGGGTTTTGACAAATATTAGTGGAAGGCGGGGAAGGTGAGGACAGGGAGAGCGAGAGAGCAGCCTGGATGCAAGACCTCTGAGGACCAAGACCTCCTACTCAGAGTGTTTGTCTTGCCAATGTATAAATACAGAGGTTCCGAGATTATGCAATTTTTTTTTCCCCTCAGAACTGACACATTGCCTACGGGAATGAGTTCAGTGTGGATGACCTGGGCACACAGGCCTCCTTCAGATTGAAAAGCGGTGTCCTGTGCTAAAAATGACCTGAGACGTGGAGAACCTGGCCCAGCTGGGAGAAGCAATCCGTGCTTCCCCATCTGTCAGCAACACAGGCATTCAACAGCTGTTCTCAACCGCTGGCGACAAACCTCTCTCGACCAATGAAGGGTCCTGGGAGGTGCGCGGGATTTAGCTACAGGGTCCGCCTTTTTCAGTGAGATGAGACCTCCCCCCCAGATCCTTCCATCACCCTCTGAAATTAAGAAGTGGAAACTTCTGGAAGCCACGGCACAAGGTGAACGTTCACCCTGCTGGATGAGGTCAGGGGCTAAACGTGCTCCCACTCCGCATGCAGAACCCAGCGCCCTGTGGAAGCAGACGACTTACACTGCGCTTGACCTTCACACACCCGCAGGCTCACAGACAACGCGAGAGGAGACACAGCTGGGAGGGATCCGCTCTGCAGGGGGACGTGGCCGTGTCACTGAAGCACAGCACGTTCGTCACTAAGCTCGGCCTGGTTTCCTTCCAACAGCTGCCTTTTGCTACGTTATTAGATCTGGAAACACTCAGGCAGAGAGAGCAGTGAAGGGGTTCAAAGCAATAACACTCGGGAACAGACAGGCAGAGACCCCGAGAGACAGCGCTTCCGGGACAGGCTTGCACGACACTCACAGGTGAGTTTTCCCACACCACTGTCAGAGCCCGAGGACCTAAAAGCTTCAGAGGCTGAAACGCTACGGAGAAATCAACTGACTTCTAAACGATCTGGAGTCATGAGTTCTGTTTGTAAAAGCCCAAGTTGAAACGCTGACGTGGATGACAGAATCAATCCCACCATGGCGGGTCTGGGAGATGCGATGCTGCAACGGTTTTGCCACGTAGGAGAAAAGAGCAGTAAAAACGCGCAGACAAGGAGGGCTTCCCTGGCGGCTCGGTGGCAAAGAACCCATCTGCCGATGCAGGAGGCACAGGTTCGCTCCCTGGTCTAAGAAGATCCCACATGCCGCAGAGCAACTAAGACCCTGTGCACAGCTACCGAGGTCCCCGGGCCCCAGAGCCTGGGCTCCACAAGGGAAGCCACTGCAATAGAAGCTTGTGCACCGCAACTAGACAGTGGACCCCCACTCATCACAACCAGAGAAAAGCCCGTGCAGCAGTGAAGACCCAGCCCAGCCAGAAATAAATAAACAAAGTTTAATGGAAGCAACCTAGATGCCCATCCGCAGACCAATGGATGAGGAAGCTGTGGTACATATACACCATGGAATATTACTCAGCCATTAAAAAGAATTCATTTGAATCAGTTCTAATGAGATGGATGAAACTGGAGCCCCTTATACAGAGCGAAGTAAGCCAGAAAGATAAAGACCATTACAGTATACTAACACATATATATGGAATTTAGAAAGATGGTAACGATAACCCTATATGCAAAACAGAAAAAGAGACTCCGATGTATAGAACAGACTTGTGGACTCTGGGAGAAGGCGAGGGTGGGATGTTTCAAGAGAACAGCATCGAAACATGTATATTATCTAGGGTGAAACAGATCACCAGCCCAGGTTGGATGCATGAGACAAGTGCTCGGGCCTGGTGCACTGGGAAGACCCAGAGGGATCGGGTGAAGAGGGAGGTGGGAGGGGGGACCGGGATGGGGAATACATGTAAATCCATGGCTAATTCATTTCAATGTATGACAAAAACCACTGCAGTGATGTAAAGTAATTAGCCTCCAACTAATAAAAATAAATGAAAAAAAATAAATAAATAAATAAACAAAGTTTAAAAAGAAAACACGGAGTCTTGGGGCGTGGGTGAAGGGAGGCGGGGTGAGGTGCAGGCATCTCCGTCACAAGGACTTTGGGGCCAAACGCAGAGTGTGGGGTGGGGTGGGCGTGGGTGCTGGGATTCTGAGGAGGGGTCGGGGGGCTCAGATATCTATATCCTGAAGGGCCGTGTCGTGAGGAAGCCAGGGGAGCAGGGGAGGGACTCGGGGCAATGTCAGTGTTAACACAGAGGCCCAGACAGGGGTCTCCAGGAAGCCTGCTTCCAAGGTGGGCCCTCGACCGGCGTCTGGGAGCTTGGACCTGGGGAGGGTCCCCCCCACCCCCAGGAGTGGCAAGCGGCTCCCTGTCCTAAACCGTGTGTACAGACAGCAGCGCCAGCACTGGGCTCCTGCTGTCCTCCTGCGAGCCTGGGGTGTGGGTGGGTGTCGGGCAGAGGGTGCTTGTGGGACCAGCCCCCCCGTAGAAACCCTGGGCGCGGACTCTCTTAGGCGTCCCTGCTGGAGACCACTGCGCAGCGCCACCTCGGCTCGCGGCTGGGGGAGTTCAGCGCGTCCTGTGCGACTCCACTGGAGAGGACGCTGGAGGCTGGTCCCGGGACTTCACCACCCACCTCCTGGCCACTTCGCGGTGGCAAAACCAGTCCCGGAACCCAGTCGGGCATCCTCGGTGTGGATGGTAAAGAAGAGACCCGTGTGCTTAAGCGTCCAGTCACACGGAGGCTGACATGAGGCCACACACAGATAGCTGAAGACCTGAAGCGGGTCATGAATTATCGCAGGAATGGTTAAAACCAATTAAAGAGATAAAACAAGCCATGTTCTGATTTCAGATGGGACTTCCAAAATCACTGCGTTGTGAATGTAAGGCAGATTGATCATCAAAAAAAAAACCAAAACCCTCAGGATGCAATTTTCCTCGTCTTGGGTTGAATTGTCTCCCAAAAAAAGACACCCCTAACCTCTGGTACCTGTGAGTGAGGCCTCACGTGGAGGTAGGTAGGGTGTCTGCAGGTGTGACACAGCAAAGATGGGGTCAGAGTGGGCTGGGGGCCCAGTGAGCGTGCCCTAAGCAGAAGAGACATGGGGTGGGGGAGAGTGTGGGGGAGGGCCGTGTGATGCTGGAGCCACACCGCTACAAGTCAAAGAAAGCCCAGGATGTCAGGAGCCACCAGTCGAGAGACTGGCAAGGAAGGAGCCTTTCTGAGAGCCTTGAGGGGTTCGGTGGCAGGGCCCCACCCTCAATTTCAGGCTTCTGGCCCCCGCAACTGTGAGAGAACACGCCTCTGCTGTTTTAAGTCATCCGGAGTTCAGTATTTGGTTATTGCAGCCCCCGAAGCTAACACACCCCCCGGCTAACTAAGTAGGGTGAGCGAGTGGAAGGCACCTTGTATGGTCCAGTGTCAGAGCACAGACTGGCCCGCCCTGGAGGTATCCCCCACACGTGACACGTTTTCACCCTGTGTGACAGAGAACCCACCGACCTCAGCAACTTGAAAGGCTTGAGTTCCAGCTTTAAAAGCAATCTCGATCAGCCTCTTCTGCTCTGAGGAGGCGGCCTCTGCCACTCAGCTTCCCAACCAAAGGCACGCGACGACTCACACCAGGCCCCAGTCGGCAGCGAACGGACGCCCTTCCCTTGTCTCGCTCACCAGAGGCCGAGGGAAGCCTTTCAGGATGCAGGCTTCCTGTCACTGGGAGGATCCGCCACATGCCGCTCTGAGCCTTGAAGGGGGCTGCTCGTGCCTGGGAAAAAGCTTTCCAATTCTGTGCTCAGATTGAAAGGTAAAGGTCTTCACCTTCAAAGCGTTTGTCAAGCTCAAGTTGGAAGTTCAAAGACTCACTGGAAAATGAAATGGCTGCTGCAGTGTTCTTGCCTGGAGAACCCCATGGACAGAGGAGCCTGGCAGGCTACAGTCCATGGGGCCACACGGAGTCGGACACGACTGAGCGACTGAACAACAAACTAAAAGTTCAAAGACACACTTAGGAATCATGATAGCACAGAGTAATTTGTTTTTGCTTTTTTTGGCTGCACTGGCTTTCTCTATTTGGGGAGAGAAGGGGCTGCCCTTGGTTGGGGTGCACAGGCCTCTCATTGCGGTGGCCTCTCTCGTTGCAGAGCTCGGGCTCTAGGGCATGCGGCTCAGTAGTTGTGGTCTGTAGGTGTAGCCCCTCGGCACATGGAATCTTCCCAGACCAGGGATCGAACCTGTGTCCTCTACATTGGCAGGTGGATTCTTAAGCACTGGACCTCCAGGGAAGGCCCCACAGAGTGGATTTTAAATCGCATCCTTGCCAGGAACACCAAAAGGCCACGACAGGGTCCCTGAGCCGGGGCCAGCTGGATGTGGACATGGACAGGTGGATGGAGGATTCACACCCCAGCAAATAGTCAACACTGAAGAGGTTGTAAAAAATACTTTGCATGGCGTCAAGGCCCCTCACAACACACCTGAGAGACACCAGCACCTTCCAGAAGGGACCTTCCAGTTTAGAGTCTCTAATTCCCACACCGGAAGGCCTAGGAAATTCCATACCCGGGGAAACAGTCAGTCTCCCAGTTGCCCAGAGAGGGGGGCAGGCTGGGCCAGTTTGGGGGCTCCAACTTGTGCACTCCCAGCAAAGCCCCACCCCCCCAATTCTGGGGAGAAGGAGCTAACGGGCCCAATGGCAGGGGGTGGTTGAGAGAAAGCTCTATGAAAGGCTGTCCTTGAGCTCTGAGAGTGCAGAGTCTGTGGCTGGGCTGGGGGTGGAGGGTACCCCCTGAGCAGGAAGAGGGAAGGAAAGACAGGCAGGCCCAGGACCGAGCCCTGTCCTGTCCCCCGCAGAGCAGAGCAAGTGGGGGTGGGGGCACATGTGGAGGCCTTCGACACAGGGGCCCCCAGCTGTCATCCTGGGGGAGAATGAGAACCCTGAGGCTACAAGGGGGCACCCGTGTGAGGTGTCCCTGGGCCCCTATCTCTGGGACCCCTGTGAGGATTCGGGGAGGCTCCTTGAACTCCAAAGCCCAGAGTAGAGGCTGCCTGTCCCCGCCCCCCTCCTGGGGACCTTGATGGACCCTGACCAGCCTGTGCCTATGGGAGGTCACCCCTGCCATGCCCCCTCTGCTCATGTGGGGATGGGCTCTGGGTCTCTGGACTCCACACCACCCAGTGGCTGGAGGTGCATGTGCCTGCCTGGGCCGGGGATCTCAGCTGAACAGCAAGAGAGCCTGTCCCTGGGACCCAGGACTGCTTCTTGCTCCCGCTTGTGGGTAAAAGCAGTGGCCCAGAGCGCATGCTGCAAGGAGCTTTGGGCCTTGACTCCCATAAGTTTGAGCATCCCCTGGTCACCCCGAGTTTTGGAGGTGGACTATGTGGCTCTGACTGATCCTTTGCAGGTGGGGGTGGGAAGGTGAAGAAAGACTCCACTAAAAGGTGTCCCCTCACCCCAGGCCACCCCTCTCAAGGGGACTCATCAAAGATCCTCTCATCCAGCAAATGTGGGGAGTGTGCCCTGCACCCTGGGTTGAGGGCTCTGTGTCTGCAGAGAGGAGGCGGGCGGGGTTAAGGGGACCTGCACCACTGACCCCTGTAGGGAAAAGGAGGGGCCGTCCTGGACATGGGGAGAATGGTGCGGTGTCCAAGGAAAGAGCCAGGTTGGAGGCGCCAGAAGGTCCCGAGAGGGGCGTCCGGAGGGAAGGCATGCACACGCTGCCTTCAATCCCCCAGGGACCCTGTGCTGGTGATTTTATTGCTTGAGTTTATAGAGGGGCTCTGAGGGGTTGGTGCTTTGCCCAGTGACAACAGCATTGGGCTCAGGACAGGTAGCCGGGGACCCCGCTTTACCCTGCACCCCACAGTCCTCTGAGAGCCACACTCAGGACCAGACGGGCCACGCCCATGTCTCCATCCAGGCCGAGACAGGCGGTGGCACGCAGGGCCCCACTCATCGCTGCCGCACCAGCCGCAGGACAGGGACTGGAGTCCCGCGGCCGGGCTTCCAGCTGTGCTGGGCGGCACCAGCCCTGGGAACGGGGGCTGATGGGGAACCGAAAGAGCGCAGCCTGGCCCAGCTGGAGCGCGGAGCCCAGTTCCCAGGGACCTGGCGAGGACAAGGTCAAGACCACACTGCTGTCTGTGCATTGCTCATTTCTGGAGCACCATCAGCCTTCGCGCACTGGTGCCCCTACCTGCCCCATCCTCGGGAACCACCCAGAGCCTGGCCAACAGCTAACAGCAGGCCGCCCTCATCCCCTGACCCTCCCTTTGGAGCTGGGGCGAGACAGCTCCGAGATGGAGATGGAGGCGCTGAAGGGGCCATCGCCTGGAGAGGGCAGAGGGTGGGCAGGGCCATGCGGGGCCCATCCGGAGACCCCCGCTCGGGGACAGTCCAGAGACTCCCTCCTCCCTCCACACCAAGTCTGCAGGGACACCCTGAGCGCCGGGAGCCCAGGCCCCCCAGGAGACTCCCAGCCTGCTCCGACCCAAGGCCCTGAGCACACGCCCAGCCTCCCCGAGCAGCGCTCCTCCTGCAGCGCCTGGGCCCCTGCACCTGAGGTGTGCATTGAGTCGCACCTGAGGTGTGCATTGAGTCACACCTTCCCCTCTCTCCTGGGACGCGCATCAGTGCCCACCCTTCACTTCATCAGTGAGGAAGCCTCCGCCCCCGTCTCAGTGGTACACATGGCCCCAGGCCACCGCTTTCTAAGGTCCCCAGCTCCGTCTGGGCCACCCCTGGCTGCATAGAATGGGGAGGGAAAGGGTCTTCTGCTCAAATCAGGGGCAGCACTGGAGCCCCTGAGCAGCTGAAGGATCTCAGTCTGTCCCCCAACTGACTCTGGGTTTCATCTGTCCTGGCCTTTCTCCTCTGGCGAGCGACCCAGCTCCCTGCCTGAGAACACAGTTCAGTGGGCTCCGAGTGTCCAGGGCCTGGAAAGGCGGCCGCTGACTTCCGGGAGGGACCCCCAGGCCATGTTAGAAATTGAACACCTGCAGCCAGCCCATGGTTTGTTAGTGGTCACCTGGGTGTGGCTGAGCTGTGAGGCTGAAGCCTGAGGCCTCACCCTGGGGAGGGAAGGGAAGGCCTGGGAGTCTCTGGTGCTGAGACCGATGATGCTCACTCACGCAAGCACCTGGCATTTCCTCTCCAAGACTGAGGGCTCCTAGGGCCCTGAGGCACTTCCACTTCCAGAAGTCAAGGGTGTCTGAGTGGGGGGGTGGACCCATACCAGCTCCAGGAGGGCCCCCGGAAGCTGAGGTTCCTTCAGTCATTTCTGACACCTAATAGCATCCACCTTTCTTCTAATTTGCCTTTTTCTCTGAAAGATGGAATTTTTAAAATTCCCTCATTCGACATTGTACATCATGATGAATTCTCAGAACAGCGTTCACTCCCACTTCTCAAAGTGACCTGGACTCCAAAGGCAAAACACAGAAGTGCTGTTGACTTTGTCACTATTTTACTCTGAGGTTTGGCGAGAAACTCAACTGACCTCAAAAGGCAGAACCTGTTTTTGCACGTGACTTCTAAGTCTCCGACTGTTACTGGGGCAGCCGTCAGCCAGCTTATAATAGCGACCTTTTAAATCATCTGAAACGCTGAGCGTTTCACTGCCATTTGATTCCACTTGATTCTCCCAACAGTTCCGAGCTGGGTGTTATGATCTTCATGACAACAGAGCTGGCTGAGACTCAGTGCCCACGCCTTCCACACCCTCTGCGGTGTCCTAGGGGCTGAGCTCACATCATGGGCCCTTTCCAGCCCACCGTCCCCACTGACGTTTCTAAAGCCCAGGTTTTGACAGCAAAGTGCCATTTGTAGTGGCTTTAAAGCCCCCAATCCACAGAGCTGTGGGTCTCTACTCTTGGTGACCCACTTCTTATATTGAAGTCTTGCCCTGCTCACAGAAAACCTGAGAAGACTCCAAACTAGTCAACGAGACTGCAACCATATAAGCAGGCTCCCAGGGCACAGCACTCCCTGGGGGCCACAAGAGACCCAGAACTGTCCCGTCCCCCACGGCTCACCCGCAGCATGCGCTGCTGTCACTGGGCTCTCCTGTGAGCTGTGCTTCCTCAGGCGAGGCGCCGTTGTCGGCTTCAAGAGACACCTTTAAAACGTTCCAGAGAACTCTTTTCATGGCTTCCCTGGATCAGGGATAACTCTGGTGTCCTCCTGTACACAGTCAAAGGGCGAGTGACCTTCACCCCAGCCGGTCAGGGTTCCGGGCCCACAGAGGGCACGGCTTTCCAACTCCATGTTTGGTGACTCCACGTGAGTCTCGAGCTCAGCCTCGGTGACAGCATTCCCACAGCGATGGGCAGGCACTAAGGAATCAGGGCTCTCCCCCAGGCCAGTTGGTTGCTAATCTACCAGCAGTCATGGAGGAAGGAACCCGAGTAAGCACGGGGCTGACGTCCAGTGAGGGGCTGCACTGGGAGCTCCACGACCCCTTCTGGATTCAGAACTAATGTTCTCCAACACACGGCACAAAGAGACTCAGAGGCAGGGCCCAGAAGCCCAGAGCTGCCCACAGGGTTTCCTGTGAGAACTGCCCTCCCTCCTCTCCAGGCAGCACCAGCACCCATGCGTGTGCAGGAGCTCAGGCTGCCTGGTGTCTGCGGGGCTGTGGACAGGCCCCCGAGACAGAGGGCCTCGGCCCGCCGCAACTCCCCTGACTGAGCACGTACAATATTTCCTGTTCATCCTTCAGAAACGATGTCCTGCCTTCCAGAAGGAGCTTCCACCCCCAGGACCCCGAGCCCTATCCTGATACCTCAACAAGCAGCCCTGGCCACCGCAGAGGAGGATCTGGAATGCAGACCTCAGGGTGGCTTGGTCGCATTCGTCCCCTTGTCCCATTAATCCTGCTGCTCCGGGGCCTGCCAGTCTCAGAGATGTGGAACCAGTGCAGACTCCAGACTCGCTTGGGAAACCAGGAGGCTGCCGTGTTGATTGTCACTGGGACCCCGGTGTGTCGGGGGCCGGAAGGCGCCCGTCAGCATTACCTGCGTAGCCTCTGCCTCCAGATACATCTGCTAGGGAAGCCGGGCCGTAAACAGGCACCGTCTTGGCAGGCTCGGGGCCAGACAGCAAGAGCTGCATGGAGCAGATGCACTGCAACCCTGGTTAAAAGCCAGTGGGCCCGGGGCGCTGCAGGGCAGCATTGATCCGGACTGTGCTGGGCTTTGCCTGGAGGGACAGTGGTCTCTGGGACCCTCCCTTCTCCAGACACTCACGGTCCAATCCCTCCCTCCACCGAGGAAGCTGGTCTTCCTTCTGCTACGCCGACACCCTCCATGGGGCCAGTTGGTCTGTACAGGGTGGAGGCCCCGCCTGCCCACCTGGCCTGGCCTGGTGGATGTGCTGTAGGCTGTGGACAAGGGGCAGGTGACAGATTGCTGTCTACCTCTGCGTGCTGGGCTGCGGGCGCAGAGGCGTGAGGCCTGGGCAAGCCAGGGGCTCCTGTGATGGCGCCTGGCACGGCACGGTCACACTGCACGAGGATTACAGCTCCGGGCTCACTCCCCTCCCTTGCCAGCTTTCCGCACTCAAATGTAATTCTGATGCTCCGTCCGACAGTTTCCATTTCACAAGTAAAGCAGATGGAGCGGGAAAATAAACCGAGTGGGGCGGCCACTCCACCTGCTCTGTCGGCAAGCACCGTCCATCAGAAGAACGGCTCTTTCCGACAGGCCCTGCGCTGAGGGGGAGCAGAAACCAGACCTGCAGGGCGGACACACTGCACGGGCAGCTCTGGAGTACAGGTGGGCCTGGTGGCCCGGCTCAGCCCAGGACCTCGGCTCTGTGCCGGCCTCCCGGGACACGCGCTCTGCAGGCTGAGCGCAGAGGGCCTCACTCGCTCACTTGGCCCGCTCACCGGCTGGCTCGTTGTGACAGCAGCTCAGCCCGCCAGGCATGGAGCTGGGCACCTTCATGACACAGAGAGCATGTGGCTGAGGGAGAGGGAGGAGAGGAGGGGCGAGCCGGGACCCCTGGTCTAGAACCCACGGGAGCCACCCCCAGCTCCATCTTGGACCTCGCGCCGTCCGGAGACCTCTGTGCCAGAATCTTCCACCCCACTCCGTCCTGTCCTTTCTGCCTGTGTGGCTCGGGGATGGGGTGGGGGTCGGCTAATGGGGAGCACTCTGGGGGCCTGGAGGAGGGAGCAGGGCACGGCTGGGCATCTACCTGCCGGGCGTCCTCCCCCGCACCATTGGCCATGTCCCTTCACCACAGGCCCCTGCTCCTCTCACAAAGACTGAGTCATAGCAGTTTCTCCTTCTGGTTCCAGAAACTCCTCCCCCCTCCCAGCCCTTCTGGCCTGGGGTTGGGGTAGCTCCTCCTCTGCTACCAGCTTGAGGACCCAAATCTCCCCTTTGGGTTGCTCACAGCCACAGAGGGCCCCTGCACTCTAATCTGAGGAGGCCTCTGCATGGGGTACTGTGTAGCCCCCACCCTCTGTAAACATGGATAGTTGCACCTATTTTTCAGGGCTGCAGGGAGAATTCAGTTGAGGGTGCCAATAAAAATGTTGCATCACCTCACCCTACAGACCTGGCCACACCGACGTCGGGCTGGGTCAACAGTGAGTTGTTGTGCCAAATGCAAGTGGCAGCAACTGGCAGTCAGACCTGGAGTCCGAAAGAAAGGAGGCCTGGGGGCCCAGTGGTCAGGCCTGGGGACCACAGGGAGGCCTGTGTTCACTGCAGACTCACACCTGCAGACAGGCTGTGCTGAGAGCGGTGGCGGCACGGGCTCAGCGGCCAGGGCAGCAGGGGAGCTGGAAGGGACACGGCCGGTACCTGGAGAAGGGAAGCTGTGGGGGACCTGGGAGCTTCCTCACGGGTTTCTGTGACCCTTGCGGGGACAAGCATTTGGCTGTAGAGCTGGGTGGATGGAAGCTGCAGTGAGGTGGCTTTGGTTCAAAAGGAAGAAGAAATTTCTAGTAACTGGAGTTTTCTAAAATAGAATGCTTCCCACAGGGAACAAGAGCCTTGCAGTGTTGGGGGAAATGGAGACAGACAAAGGGACCGTCGATG